CCCCCGGACTCCCCCCCCCCAACAGCCCTCTGCACAGTCGTGTAGACAGAATTGGTGCTGAGCAAACACTTGCTAGAAATGAAGTTAACACAATACACATCAGAGCTCCACCTTCCTCAGCCCTGTAATGGATTCCAGCTTCACTGATACTTTCCTCTCTTCCTCTGTGGAAACAGGAGACAGAGCCTGGTGGTGAAAGGGACGGTGTTTACCCTTTAATCTGCTGCTTGAATTTCTTTAGATCCTGGCATGTGCTCCCTTCCCTGGCGCTTAGAAAGCCCACTTCAGGCCAGTACAGTGAAGGGGAGGACTAGCGACTGTGGGGCAGCAGCACACAGGCTGTGTCACTCACAGGCGGTAGGAACTTGGACAAGCCCTGAGCCTCTCAGCCTCAGTGTTTTCATTTCCATCTGTTGCTTCAAAGAGCCTTGCACTTCCTCCCTCCACCCACCTCTCAGATGTGGCATTAGCATCTCCTGTAACCTTATAAAGCCCTGTATTAATCTAAGAGATTCTTACATCAATAATTACAATGACTATCACTAAGGTTTACTGAGTTCCTGCTGGGAGCACTGCTTCGGGCACTGTTCTAAGTGTTCTGCATCGCCAACTCATGTCATGCTCACAGCAACCTCACAATGTTATGATTCCCATTTTGCAGATGAAGGAGCTGAGGCACAGAGGGTTTAAGTAATTTGTTCAAGACCCTCCAGCTAGTCAGTGCCAGAGCTGAGGTGTAAACCCAGGCAGTCTGTCCGTGAGGTGTCTGTGGCTGCTGTGAGGAAGAAGAAGGCGGGTGGGTGAGGGCCATGGGAGTCTATGTCATCTGGTAACTTAAACCCTCCTTTCGGACAGCAAACGAAGGAGAAGGTGAAGCTACTGATCCAGCTGGCCGACAGCTTTGTGGAGAAGGGCCACATCCACGCCACAGAGATCAGGAAGTGGGTGACCACGGTGGACAAGCACTACAGAGACTTCTCCCTGCGGATGGGGAAGTACCAGTACTCCCTGGAGAAAGCCCTGGGCGTCAACACAGAGGTAGGTGTGGGCTGTCCAGCTGGGATGCCTCCTTTCCCATCTCCCTCAGCGTGCCTGCTGCTATTGCCGTGGAAGGAAGCAGGTTTCCAGAGCCGCCTCTCTGAGCCACGGACCCCTTCAGCACTTGCCTGGTGTGGTTTCCCCTTGGGGGGATGGATCTTACTGAGCCATCCAGCCATTGGCCTCTAGCCTCTCATGATTAGTACTATATATATTGCAAAATTGGCTGGCTGGGGTTGGGGCCTGTGGCTACAGAACAGAGTCTTTCTGTGTGTAGAGTTTACTGTTGACTTTGAGGACTACCATCTTCTACCCAATTACGTTAATCAGCAAATGATTAGAGTCCCCAGTATGTACAATAGTGCTCTTTCAAGAATAAGGGGTGTAGTTTGTGCAAAGGCCATTTGACATTTCAACTGAAAGGAGGTCCTATCTGCTATGAAGCAAGGGAAGACTGACTTTTAATCTCTTCTTCATCATAGGGGTCAGTGACCTGGGAGTTAAGAACTACACACAGGCTGGCAGTTCAGTCCTAGGATTTCTAGTTCTTAAATCTTTATTTATTTTTTGTTAATACTCACCTGAGGATATTTTTCCTTTGTTTTTTGTTTGGTTTTTTGTTGTTGTTGTTGTTGTTGTTTTTAAGGAGAGTGAAAGAGAGAGGGAAAGACAGAGAGAAACATTGATGTGAGAAAAACACATCGATTGGTTGCGTCCTGCACAAGCTCTGACTAGGTCCCGGGCCAGGGAGGAGCCTGCAACCAATTATGTGCCCTTGACCAGAATTGAACCTGGGACCCTTTGGTCCACAGGCCAATGCTCTATCCACTGAGCCTAACCAGCTAGGGCTAATTCTTAAATCTTTAAATGGGCTCATGCTCTGCAGCAGAGCAGACTAGAGAGTAAAGTGGTCAGATCACTAAAATTGGGAGAATTAATGTCTAACCCATGAGATTTTTTTTTCTAGAAGTTTCCATTCTGTATAAATACCTAACATTGGTTGAAATAAGCAGGGAGAGGCAATTAGAAAAATCAGTAATTGTTTTCTGTTTCCAAGGGAAGTTGCTTGTTTAAATAAAAATATTTGCTTTTATTATTTTCCCTTTACAAATGAAAGTTTTCTTATGTCTTTATGTGTTTCTGCTTCACATACATTTTAATGTGTAGTAATCATCTTGGACTCATTTTGTGTGTGTGTTTAGATTTAATCAGGACCAAAGTCCCTAGAGAAATATGACACTAATTATCAAATGTATTCATTGTTTTTTTCTTGCTGTGGACATTAGCGCTGAACATTTGACTTGAACATTTGATATCTTTCTTACTTAAAAAAAAAGTGACCACATGAAGAAGAGTGCTTGTGGGTGACAATTTGTGGGATTCCCACTCTCCTCATCCTTCTCCATTATCTCTCTCTCTGTTTTTCACCTCTACCACCCTCCCAGCCCTATTTAGTTGCTTTCCAAAAGCATCTCTGAGGTGACCTCTGTGCTCTCTCTGTGCAGGATAACAAGGACCTGGAGCTGGACATCATCCCAGCGAGCCTTTCGGATCGTGAGGTAAAGCTGCGGGACGCCAACCACGAAGTCAATGAAGAGAAGCGGAAGTCTGCCCGGAAGAAAGAGTATGTTTGGGGGGAGCTTCCACCCAACAACAGGCTCCTCGTGACTGTGCTTGGCTTTCACCGTCACCTGTCCCTTTGGACAGCTCCATGTATCCTCATGACCACCTGCAGAGGTTGGAATGGACATACATGATGCTTCCACCCGTATGTCATGCTAACCAAGAACTACAGGCCATTGGCTAGTGGAGACAGTGGATCATGTCCACCTCACAAAGCATTGCCTGATGACTCTGCTCTGTATTTTAGTCTTGCACAGCTACATATATCCAGGGGTCTTTCAAGGGCTTTGTGAAGACTATTTTGACAGATTCCTTTTGGGTAATGCTGGGAAAAAATAGTGTTTCCCAAGATTAAGAAGCCCTAGGTAGTTGATTTATAAAAATGAAGTAGGACCACAGGTCCCTTGGCACTGAAGACACTAATGCAAAGTCAGAGCTTGAGTTTCATCTGGGGAATGTTTTAGTTTGTCTGGCCTGCTGTACCAAAGTGTGACAAATTGGGTGCTTTAAACAATATAAATGTATTGTCTCACAGTTCTGGAGGCTAGAAGTCTGAAATCAGGGTGTTGACAGGGTTGATTCCTTCTAAGGGCTAAGAGGGAAGGCTCTGTTCCAGGTATATTTCCTGGCCTTGTAGACCACCTGCAGAGGTTGGAATGGACATACATGATGTTCACATGGTGTTCTCCCTGAACATCTGCATGTGTCCAGATTCTCCCATTTTTAAGGACACCAGTCACTTTGGACTAGGGGCCCACCCTATCCCATTATTAACCTCATCTTAACTAATTACATCTGCAATGACTATTTCTAAATAAGGTCACATTTTGAGGTACTGAGAGTTGGTATTTTAACATATGAAATTTGAGGGGGACATACTTCAACCCATAACAGGAAGGAGAATGAGACCACACGTGGCCAAATATTACTGCTGGGCTCCCTCTGGGGCACCAAATAGCCAGAGGTGGCAAAGGATGCATTGAAAGTAAAACAAAATGGGGTAGAGGGTAGAAGAGCTAAATTATGAAAAGACACAAAACTGCAGGAAGCAGGTGGAGAAAAAGGAAGGAGTAACGAGGCCAGAAACCCAATGCAGTAAAATCAAGACAACTTTTCGAAGCATGTCAGGTTATATTCCTTCTGACTCGTTTCTCTCCTTGTTTACTAAGCACCTACAAGGTACTAGAAACTTTGCTTACACAACCCTGTTTAATCCTTGCAGCAATCCTGTGTGATCACCTGTTTTATAAGTAAGGAGTCTGAGGCTTGGAGAAGCAAGTGCTCCCTCTAGTAAATGGCAGTCATAATTCAATCCCTGTTTGACTTCAAACCTCATGCACTGTCCACTTTACCAATAGAGTAAGAATAGTAAGAGTGACTAATTAACTCCAGCAAAGGGGAATGTATGAAATCAGGACTTTAATATTAATAGAAAGGCCACTACTAGTACAATGTATTGCTTTAAGGAAAATCCTACCATAACAAAGGTCCAGGAAAAGATGCTGCTCATTTTATTATTTCTTGTGAAATTTTGAACAGGGAACACTTTGGGGATAATCGTTCTCAAAATTTTCTTGGGATGAAACACTTGGAATTACTCCCAGGAAAAACTAACATTGAAAATCTAAAATAAGCATGAATACATACTTGGTGCTAAATTATATATTATTATGTATCACCTGCCAGCTGGGAAGCACCATTTCTAATAAAAACTTGTGAAAGAAGGAAGTTAAGTGGGTACCCTGCAGTGAAACCCAGTGCAGCCTACACCTACCAGCTGCCCACCCACACTGTCATCAGGGCCCGAGGCAGAAGGGCGCCCTCTCCCTGTAGATCCGCAGCACCAGCTGCTCTTTGTGGGAGGCTGAAGAGCAGTCCCCTAACATCGTCCATACGTGCTGTGCTTGTGGTCACGCACTGCGCTTCGTGCACATCAGCCTGTGATGCACATGAGCCCCATTGTAAGTAGTGTGAAGTACACGGGATAATCCAGGCCAGAGGTCAGCAAACTGTGGCCCACAGGCCAAATGTGACCCACCATCTGCTTTAAAAAAAATTAAATGTGTTGGGTGGCATTGGTTTATAACCACCCATTTTATATAGTCTGTAAGCCAAAGACTCTTTTTTATCTATGTATATAAAAGGCTAAGCGACCAGCCGACTGTCTGACTGGCTGGTAGCTGTGACGCACACTGACCACCAGAGGGCAGATGCTCAACGCAGGAGCTGCTGAGTGACAGCAACTTTGCAGAGTGCCCTCTCGCACTCCAGGACCCCTCAGGGGATGTTGGACTACCGTTTTCAGCCTGATCTCTGCAGGCCAGGCTGAGGGACCCCACCTGCAGGAGGGACCCAACTCACACCGCAAATGCCCTTCGAGCCCTGGTGTCGCCCCAGTGCAGCCAGTCAGGGAGGGACCACAGGAGGTTGGCTCCAGGATATGTCCAGCCCATCTCGTCCAGTCCCACCCCGCTGGCCACCTTCTAATTAATTTTCTTTCAGTGTGCATGAATCTGTGCACCGAGATTCTAGTTTTTAAATGATTAAAAAATATGAAAAGAAGAATATTAGTGGTGTAAAAATTAAATGAAATTCTTTTGTGTCCATAAAGTTTTATTGGGACATAGCCACACTTACTATTGTTGTTTTTTATATACTGTTTCTGACTCCTTTTACACTACAGCAGCAAAGTGAGTGGTTGTAACAGAGCCTGAATGGCCCACAAATATACCTGGCTCTTTACAGATAAAAGTTTCCTTACCCTCTCCTCTGCCCCAGTCTCACTGGTGGTGTCCTAGCATTTGTTTACTTTTAGCTTATAAACCTGGTTTAACTTACAGTACTGTGAATTGCTCTGGTGTAAGCCAACAACTCCACTAAACAGATATCATCATCTGGGGGCTTTAAGGAAAATTTAGGAAGCTGAACCTGAAGCTATGTAATTGGTTAGAATGCATATGAAGTGTGCCACATGCTTGTGCACACATGCAAACACACGTGCAATTGAACACACATACATGTCAGCACAGAATCACTAAATGGAAGAACTGGGATGGAAAAGGGAGAGAGAATGCGGATGTGGCTGAGCACAAACCTTCCAAAGAGATACAGAGTAAATGGGCAGAGTGAGAGGGACTCAGATAATGCTCAGAGGCAAGGAGTTCTGAAGAAAGGAAGAGGTATATTTTGGTAAAGTAGAAAAATAGGATGCTCAGTCATGTCATGAATGCTGGGGTGGGGAAGTGACACTTGCAGGAAGGGAGGTATTATCTCTCTAACCATCTAAACGTCCATGTGTTCCCTTCTAGATTCATCATGGCCGAGCTGCTCCAGACAGAGAAGGCCTACGTAAGGGACTTACACGAGTGCTTAGAGGTGAGTACTGTAGTCGTCAGCCCACAGCTGTATAAGCAAACTGCCAGCCTTGACAGGGGCAGGTCCTTGAGGGGAGAGAGCTCTTTGTCTTCTCCCGGAACTTCACAAGAGAAACGCCAGCCCAGGAAATCCTTCTACCCGAGGCATAGTAATTGCACGGCAGGTTCAACTGCTTTGGAAAACAAGCTTTTCTCAGACTTGAGTTAGACCCAGCAGAAAAGCTTATAAGACCCTTGAGTTCAGGATAAAAACCATGACACAGTCAATGAACTCGAGTCTGAAATTCTGCATCCTCCCCTCAGCAAACACTCGGACATGCACAGGTTTAATAAACAAGAATAGTGTGGAGTCTGTGCTCTTGACGAAGGTCATGGTGTGTTTCCCTAGCAACAGCTCAGGATAATGGACCTCCGATTTTCTTTCCGTCCTGCTTATTTACTGTTTCCACTGTTTCCACTCTGCATGCGTTGCTAGCTGAGTCTCACATCACAGCATGAAGGCCTGTTTATTTCGTCTGTATTTCATGTGGCAGTTCTTGCCAGTGATGAACTGTTGCTGTCTTACAGACCTACCTGTGGGAAATGACCAGTGGCGTGGAGGAGATCCCCCCTGGGATCCTGAATAAAGAGCACATCATCTTTGGCAACATCCAGGAGATCTACGATTTTCATAACAAGTAGGTTGGTGGAGGGTTTCCGCGGAGCACACTTAAGGCCATAGATGCCCAACGATAGGGCTTCCCAACAAGAGGGTCAAGACTGCTTGGGAAATCTCGCCTAGTAAATTGTTACCTGTTAAAGTTTCTAAGTCAGCTACACACTGTCAGACTTCTCTCTCTCTCACCCATATTTCTCCACAATTGTCCAAAATTCCTAATGGAGAAAAGTACTCAGTAGTGTTCTCCTTAGAGGCCTAACTGGCAGCATCTTTGTACTCAGTCAGAATGATAACCAGGCTTTGAAGAAATAAAAGTAGCCTTTCCTCATTGAAACCATGGGGGATCCTGACATTAGAATTCATCTGAGGCTAACTAACCGTTCCACCTTATGGGCCTTAGATTTCAAATTCCACTGAAGTTCACGTTCAACTAAATATTTTCTCCCAACTATCCCATCATCTCATCCAAAACAACGGAGAAAAGATAGGTAGGTAGGTAGATAGATAATAAAAATACCTAATGGAACACAGTTCTTGACATCCTATGTGGAGAACATCATTTGTTCCTCCCTGTTTTGTTGAAATAAGTAGAACCATAGGGCCCTAAAATGTCATGACTCATTTTGTCCAGCTCCCGACTGGATTTAAGTATCTTTTCCACAACATATTAAACCACATATTCCATCATTAACAGAAGATCAGCAAGAACATTGGTAACTAGTTATGTAACCTACGTAATGGAAATAACTCAGCTTCCAAAATGCCAATAGGGAATCTCAAGACACAAGGAGTTTGATAGTATAAAGTCCTGGAGCTCGCTCAGGACCCTGTTTCAGAGAAGGGGTGAGAGATGGAGGTGCAGTGTTGTAAGTCCTGAGGTCAGGCCATGGGGCTTGTACTGGGATAAGCAGTCATGCTGGAGAACCACAGCTCCCGGAGTTCCTGAGGAGGCCCGTGCACAAGGCACAGCCCTGAGGCAGGACTCTAGGCAGCACGGCCCAGCGGGGCTTCCTGCAGGGATGGAAATGCCGTGTCTGGGCTGTCCAGCACGGTAGCCCTGACACACGTGTGGCTATGGACACTGGAGCATGATGAGTACTCCTGAGAACTGATGTTTTAACTTTATTTCATTTGATAAATTTAGATGGCAGGTGGCCACCATATTAAACAGCCCAGCTCTAGAAAAGGAGACCTCAGTATGGCCCTTTGCTAAGAATGAGTCGGGGGCAAGCGTTGGCTGCAAAAGGACCCTGATTTCTAAAAGGTCTAATACAGGGTAGAGATCACTCCTCTCTTGTCCACTCCTAATGATTAACCCCCTGTTATGTTATCAAATGGCATCCATGTCAAGAGAACATACAAGGTGTAGCTCCCTTGATGTGTTAACCATGTCAGATTATGTAGTAAGCTCTACAGGGAAAAACCATCGGACTTTCTGGAGAGCTTAAATAAAGGTTCCCAGTCTTTTTTTTTTATCACAAATGTTAACATTCTCCTTGCGGTTTGTTTGGACATCTTCAGACATAGAAATAGTCTCTCCGCGTTCCTATTAAATAAGACCCCAGTAAAGCCACATTTGACCATTGATTCCAAATTCCAACCTCTGAGCCCAGCTCAGCATTACCCTGTCTCCTCCAGGAAACCTGAGAAGACGGACTGGTAAGCAGTAAGTCATGTGACTTTACTTTTCTGATTGATGATCTCTGGGATTTAGTTAACAAGTCTCCCTTCCTCATAGTCTTACCAACGTGACTAAGAATAAAGGATAGAAATTTGGAGATCACAGCATGCACTTCCTGTGAGCCCTGCTTTTGCCAAATTAGTGAATAAAGGGAAAGGATACTTATTTCAAATTGATCGGGCATAACAAAAATATCTAGCACAGCCATGCCCTTGTCTGATTCCATGATGTCACTCTGCTAAACCATGGGAACCAGTTTGATAGTTGTTTAAACAGCTGAAAGCCTCCCTACCAGTGACAAAGTAAATTCTAAGACACCCTTAAAGAACAGTCACGTTAAGCCATTCAGAATGCTGCGTACCATAGAGGAATAAATTCAGTTGTCAAGAACACAGCTACCAAACAAATATTGCCTATTTCTGATATTACAAAGAAACAAGAAGGAATTAAAAGCCAGCCTCTGAGCAACCGAAAGAGCTGTCACAAGATAAAGCCCTACCTTTTCAGAGCCACCTTTGTATCCTCTCTAAAAGCCGCTTTACTCTTAGATTGTTTTGGAGCTCAAGCAATTTAGAAGCACCAAATAAGAATCAAGAACTTGAGCAGGTAGTTCAATACCAGCAGCATAAAGTGAAACCTGGCAGGAAAGAAGACACATTGCAATAAAATAGTCAAAAGAATCCACAAAATTAGAGTGGTCACTGGCTCTTCAGCATTGATGCAAACTATTCTATATCCCATCACAGAGCCTCGCACAGCCACAGTCTCACTGGATAGCATATAATTGATATTAGTCATAACCCTGAATCATTAGTATATCCTGCATGAAACAACAAGGAAACTCATTAAAAAATGTTTTCAATTATCCACAATTTAAAGGAACGTCTAAAAAAATCAAGCTGTGTATTAATTTCCTACAGGATCTGGAGGGCTGAGGCTTTATTCATCATGTATGATTTCTACTTAGGCCATACACATTTTGAATGATGGAGAAAGCATAGCACGTCTACAGTCTCTAATAAATAAGAGATAAAATGGCAATTAACCCAACTTTGAAAATGCAGGAGCTGTGAACTCCATAGAGATCATGTCTTCCACTGCACAACCCAGGCCCTGGCACACAGGAAACTGGGGTAGTTGTTGGGTGGGTGGCTGGACGATGGAAAAACATTAGAGCTTTAGTTTGCAGATGTATGGCTAATGTCATTCAAGTCACAATTCAGTCTTTTGTTTGTGAGAGTATTACAACAGAGAAAACCCTTAGTTATGATCCCCCCCCATCACTACCAGAACCTTCTAGACCAGCAAAGTGATTGAATATCTGAATGAAGGAGCTTCCTGGGAGCTTCTTAACGGGAGGGCCATGCAATGGTCCAGGCACCTGTTTGCTCTTCAGGAATCATTTTCTGAAATGATCACTTTTTAACCTGAGAATTTCCAAGGGTTCTTTTTTGCATCTTTCCAAAGTTACAATGAAGTGCTATCTACCAGAGAACATACTCCTCTCATTTGTAGTGCATAGCTCAGGTTATCCGCCTATGCTTCAGAAAGGGAGAGAGGAAGGGAGGGGATGGGGAGGTTGTGGGGGCAGAAGGATTGCGACTGACACTACCTGGATAAGCCAATTAACTGAGTCACTAGGAAATTAGTACCGAGACCAGGGGTGATATGGTATTGATCCTTTTAAATGGTGTCACTTTGAAAAATTACCGCCAAGATTAGGGGTGTGTGTGTGTGTGTGTGTGTGTGTGTGTGTGTGTATAATTCTCAAGGACCTTCATCTATATAGGTACTGAATGGAGAAATTCCCAAGTACCAAAATTTATAAACAGAAGAATTATTCAATATGTAGAATTTAATACGTACAAGTAGTGATTTTAACACAAATTGGAAGTTCAAATGGAATGATACCTTGTTTTTACCCTCCAGTCTTTCATCCTCCATCTCTTTTCTAAAGGTCATGAAACTTATCTAAGCAAGGACTAGACCGAGTTCTATTGTGGACTGCTAAGCATTCCAGGAGCACTCAGATACCATAGTATATTCCATAAATAGATCCCCAAACAGGTGTGGGTGTGTTAATGCAGTCTCCCCACTTTGACTAACCTACAACTTGTGATTTAGGAAAATCATTTATTTGGTTTGCCTTGATTATTAGAATTTCATCTTTGGTGAGGACCGCTGTTTGTTAAAAATATTCATCCCCTTCACTTAAGTGTGAACTTTACTTTTTCCTTTTCAGTTATTTGGAGACAGGGCTGTACATGTGAGTGTGAGCAAGAACATCTTTATAAAATCTCTGTCAGGCTCAGGGGATCTCCTTCACTGTCAGGCACCGCCATCTCCAAGTGCAGATACAGGCACTGAGACCCAGAAGAGCCAGGGACTTGCCTAGGGTGTGACACCCCTGCCCTTAAAGGTCAGGCAGAGATCCCAGTCATCTGCTCTCCCCCCTCCCCACTCCACAGACTACCCCTGGGACTGCCAAATCTGGTTGGTTGGTTTCGTACCTAACCCGCTTTCATGTGGATCCCCACGTTTGAGAAACACTCCAGCTCATTTCTTCCATAGGTATGTCATCCAGGTCCCGCACCCTCCCATCAATTGTCTGAAATAAGTCAGTTTTCAGCAAGACTTGGAAAAGCAAGTTGAGGAACCAACTGCCAGGGCTGGATAGGCCTCTGCACACTCCCTCCCTCCAGGCCCGGCACTCCCAGCCTGGCAGGCACAGGCTCATGGCCGAGGGAGCCAGGGCCAGAGCCACGTGGGACTGAAGTGGGAGCACTGGCCAGGCCAGGGTCAGCCTGCTAGGGTAGCAGGTGGCCAGGGTCAGCCAGGAGCAGAGGGTGGCGTGCAGCAAGGGGTGAAGACAAGGTGGAGGAAGTGATGGGAAAGGCCAGGGCCACATTTTTGTCATCTTCCCGGAGTTCCTTCTTGGGCCAGCACTGTGCTGGTTTGGAGTAGAGCTGGTACAGTGATGAGTGAAACCCAATCTCTGCTCTCTGAGCTCCAGGAGGCAATGAGGCACCTGTGATAGGGTGGAGATGAGCACAAATGCAGCTCAAAGGAGCAAAGAAATAGCTTCCATTGGACTAATAGGAAAGGCTTCACAGAGGGGAGGGCATTTAAGGTGGAATTTAAATACGAGGGTATTGTAGCTAGAGTTGGCCCCCTCAGGGGGGGAAGATAGAGCGAATCCCTCCAAGGGAGGAGAGTGGGGCCTGTAGCAGGGAGGTTTGGAGGGGCAATGGGAGGAGTCCTTGGGGAGAGGTTGGCTGTCACACCCCCAGTTAGACCATCTTGTCACATCTGTGTCTGTGAGATTGAGATTGAGGCGG